ATTTTTTTGTAATTTTAAAGTAAATCTTTAGTTTTAGATTTAGCTGTATTTTTACATTCAAACTCTGTAATTTTATATAGAATAGAAATAGTATATATATATATAGAATAGAAAATCAGCCTTAAAATCCACAGTGAATAGCACAGGTGCACCTAACCCTAGCATAATGTGAAATCACCATTTGAACAATTAATTAAATGTAATCTGGCCAATGACTATTGAACGCGCCGTTTCCCGTTTAAATGTGAAAATACACTGATGCAATGTGTGCCGCCAATCGGCTTCTGCAGCAGTCTGCTTCTGTCGGTTCACTAGGAATGGATTTTACATGGATTATTTTATGTCTGACTTGTTTAATTCATATTTTGAGCGAGTTTGGGTCGTGGGATGATGATTGAGAACAAATACACGCGAATATGGACACAGACTTCTTATCAACAGACAAACAAACTGCAAAAGGTAAGTAACGTTTAGTACGTTATCTAATGTTCTATAGTTACATTAAGATACAGTGCATTGAAGTGAGATGCTAATCGCGATGTCCTACCAGTGTGTGTTACTGTGTTTTGTTAGTATGAGCTAATACAGTTAGCTGCGGCTGGGCGATTTATGACCATGTCGTGGCGATGGTATGAAGCGCAATATATAAACTCATAGCACAGTACTACTTAAAGTTATTGACAGTTTGATAAAGAAATGTGCATAAATGAGAAATTAATAGCAGGATGCGCGTGGTGATGAAATGAGTGAAGAACAATAGACACAAAGCTGCGCGTCACTTGAATGGTCAAATACAGACAGCCATCTCAAAATTCACTTGACTTAAACACAGTCGCTAATGTTGGAGTCAAGATTAACATTTAGGTGGAAACCCGGTGACGTGTCAGCATATACTGGATCTGTGCATTTTGTTCTTACACAAAGTGACAGCAGTATAATTTAGCCTTTTACCTGCAGTCGGTCATAATTTTAATCAAACAACAAAATACTAAAGAGAAAAATAACAATGTATTTAACTTATCTTTGTTCTATTGCATTAGTCCTATTGTTTGTAATGAGCTACTTTGATCTTCTGTTTAATAAAATAACTGTATTGTGATATACTGTTATTGTGAAATAAAATGTCCTATATTGTGAAATAATATGGTCATATCGCCCACCCATACTGCCAGCTAGTTTTAAGATCAAACTCAAAAAGTGAAGGAACTTTGAAATGAGTAATCTGAGAACACCTGCGTATTCCTTGGAGAAGAATACTGCATGTAAACCAGGATTTTGGATCAACTGTGAAGCAGACTGCTGCAGAAGCCGATCGGCGACACACATTGCATCAGTGTATGTAGCAGGTGAGTACATTTTTGCAAGCCCATGTCTCTGTCAGTAAGTAGATAGTGTTTTATTAAACAAATTGATATTCATGTGTTTGTGTGTGTGCTTCCGCCTTATGATCCAGAAGTTTTGGAAAAGAAAACTTCTACCACATGATCTTCAGAGGAAGTGAGCATTAATGTCTAACATTAAGACATACTAACATTAATTAATTTTTAAAGGAAAGTTCACAGTATTTTTCTTCCATGTTTTAATCCCAGATAAAAAAAAGGTGTCTTCTCACAAACTTTTTTTCTTTTCTTTTTTTATCCCCAGCTGATCCAGCTGATTACTGGCAATTTGGAGGAGGACTGCTCTTTCTGCTGGTTCTGTCACTTCTGGAGCAGAGTCATGGAGCTTTTGTTGTATGTTTTGGTTTTACTTATTATTACACTAATATAGCTAGAATTCAGAATTAAAATAAATATGTCTGTCAACATATATATTATCAGAGCTACAGTGGTGCCCAAAATGATTAGAACACTAGTATTGTTACCAGCTTAACATTTGTTTCTATCTTTTGCTGTAATATGACCGTAGGAAATATCAGTTTATATTTCCAAACATTAATTTTGCCATTAACTGTAATGAACAGAACAGAACAAACTGTTCTAGACTAAATCCAGAAGAATTGTGGCAACGTCTCCTAGATGCTTCAAGAAACCTACCTGCGAAGCTACAGTACTGTTAAAAGTTTTAGCCACTTGTGTAAAAATGCTGTAAAATGGGGATGCTGTCAAAAATAATGTCATAAATAAATTCTTTATCAATTAACTTCAGTTAACTAAATTAAATTAGAATTTGGTGTGAGCATCCTTTGCGTTTAAAGCAGCTTTTGCCCTCGGTGCACTTGTGCATAGTTTTTCAGGTAGCTTTGCAGGCAGGTTTCTTGAAGCGTCTTGGAGACGTTGCCACAGTTCTTCTAGATTTAGTCTGTTTTAGTTTGTTCTGTTTCTTCATGTCATTCCAGACAGACTGATGATGATCAGATCAGATCTCTGTGCATGTGGAGCAAACAAAAATCTCACTGGATTATTACAATTAATGGCCAAATGAATGTTTGGAAATGTAAACTGATATTTTCTACTGACACACTACAGCAAAAGTTAGAAATAACTGACTTAAAACCATTTTATAGCTGGTGAAAATACTAGTGTTCTAATCATTTTGGACACCACTGTATTTGGAGCCAACAGGAGCAGTAGAATATTGTGGATTAATATAAAATTTATGTGGAAAATACAAGATACAAAGCTATCAACAAACAGCACAAATTGTTTCTTTCTCTCAAAGGTAAAATTGACCTCATCATGAGAGTAACCCTAACTGATAAGATAGAAATGCAATTTTTAGTTATTCAGTTCCTCCTGGGGGTTCTGAAGTACTGTTTATGAAGAATTCATTCACTGGATTATTACAATTAATGGCCAAATGAATGTTTGGAAATGTAAACTGATATTTTCTACTGACACACTACAGCAAAAGTTAGAAATAACTGACTTAAAACCATTTTATAGCTGGTGAAAATACTAGTGTTCTAATCATTTTGGACACCACTGTATTTGGAGCCAACAGGAGCAGTAGAATATTGTGGATTAATATAAAATTTATGTGGAAAATACAAGATACAAAGCTATCAACAAACAGCACAAATTGTTTCTTTCTCTCAAAGGTAAAATTGACCTCATCATGAGAGTAACCCTAACTGATAAGATAGAAATGCAATTTTTAGTTATTCAGTTCCTCCTGGGGGTTCTGAAGTACTGTTTATGAAGAATTCATTGATAATGTAAATTTACATCTGAATAATAAAACTCTTTTAGAATCAACCTTGACAATCTTGTAGATATATCAGTTTTGTATTTCTTCAGTTTTAAAGGACTAGTTCAATTCCAGAATAAAATTTCCTGATCATTTACTCACCCCCATGTCATCCAAGATGTCCATGTCTTTTTTTTTCTGTTGAAAAAAAAATTAAGGTTTTTGAGGAAAACATTCTAGAATTTTCACTCCATATAGTGGACTTCAATGGGTCCCAACGGGTTGAAGGTCCAAATTTCAGTTTCAATGCAGCTTCAAAGGGCTTTACACGATCCCAGCCGAGGAATAAGGGTTTCTGGGAACTTGTAAAGCCCTTTGAAAGCTGCACTGAAACTGAAATTTGGACCTTCAACCCGTTGGGTCCCATTGAAGTCCACTATATGGAGAAAAATCCTGGAATGTTTTCCTCAAAAACTTTTATTTATTTTTGACTGAGTAAAGAAAGACATGAACATCTTGGATTACATGGGGTGAGTACATTATCAGAAAATATTCATTCTGGAAGTGAACTTGTCCGAATATATTGAATTCAACTTTTTGATGAAACTGTTCAATGTTCTTCATCAGTACAGTATTTTAAATGTAATCGAGCTGTATTTCTTAAAAAAAAAAAAAAAAAAACTGAAATGTAAAATTTTAATTTTATATGGCATTTGTACAGATTTAGTATTTTATCTTCCAAATAAAACGGTTTATTTTCCATCTTGAGCATGCTTTCACCTTATTGAAGGTTTTTGATTGTAATGATTTGTAAAATAACAGTGTTTCTCTGTAGAACATTTAGTGCTTTCATTGTAATAATCTAGGAAAAATCTGTAAAATAAGGGTTTAACACTGTAAAAAAAAAAGTCCCATAAAAAATGGTAAATGACTGGCAGCTATGGCTGCCAAACAAAAACCGTAAAATTAAAGTAAAATATCATAATTGAAACAAGGAAAATTCTGGAAAAACTATTTTTCCTATAAAACCTTTAATGAAAATATCTGTAAAAATATTGTTTTTGCACTTTATTTCAATTAAGATATTTTACTTTAATTTTATGGTTTTTGTTTGGCAGCCGTAGTTATATATATATATATATATATATATATATATTTATTTATTTTTTACTGTTCTTCAATATTTAATTTATGTTTCAATAAATCCGTCAAGTTAGTATTTTTAACTTTAATATTACAAAAAAAAATGTTTGAGTATATTTTAAGCGTTTGTATACAAATCAGCAAATTTTAACCTTTCATATTATTGACTCCCAGGTATATTTTGCAGCATTAGTTGAGAGATTTTTTTTTTCCTTGAGAAAATTTGCCAGTTTGATCAGGGTTGGAGCTAAACTCAGCAGCGCATTGGCCCTCCAGGGCAAGATTTGAGGAACCCTGCTCTAAGATTTCTCCCAATTCCTGAGTAAAAGTTGGTCTCAGCAGCTTTGTGAATAGGTTTTAGGAGGAATCTCTTAGCTAAAAACTTTTACTGCTATTTAGGAGAACTCTTAGTGCTAAGATAAAATGTTTTGTGAATACGGCCCCAAAGACAGAAATAGGTACAGTAGGATGAGACAGAGTTGTAGAAAAAAGAATGAGAGAAATCACAAAACTCAGTATGACTACCACAGAAAAGAAAGTCCAATCTCCCATTTAAATCAGCCAATCACATCAACAGTTAAGGTACTGCCTTGTCTCATTTCTCTGAAATGTTTGCATGTGCATTAGATGAACCATTTTTGCTAAAGAATCAACCAACCAATCAATCGATCGATCATTCAACCAACCAACCAACCAACCAACCAACCAATCAATCAATCAACACACACCTCTTTGGTATCCCAGACCTCAGCTCCATCTGTGTACATCACCAAGAGTTTTTGGTTGCCTTTCCCAGGAGCAAAACGAATCTTCTTCACCCACCCGCGGTGTGTAGGTACAGCCCTGAAAAATGTAAATGAGTATGACATTTTAAATGCAAGCTAAACCTAACTCAAGTGTGGGATGCACAGAGTCTTATATTTCCAACTCAGACCTTTATTAGGTTTCATTTAAATTAGGATGCTGTCTAAGAAAGTAGTTTACTGAGTTTTGGAATTAAATCAGTTTGCACACATAAATGCATGGAGACACATTTTACTTGCAGATTCTTTAGTAATACATTTGCACCTTGAAAGACGAGCTTTTAGGTCCCAAAAATTGAGGTTTCCATCTACATCTCCCAGAACTAGGGTGTCTCCTTTCCATGCAATACAGGCAATACTCCCCATACTGCCCTGGAAGAGAGTAGAAAAACTTCAGTTTCTTGCACACAAGACATAGGACACAACTATTATGTTGAAATGTGATATTACCAGTTCTCATAGACATTTGCTATTTGATATGGTGCAAAGTTAAAATTTCAAATTGAAACCGAAAGCAAAAATAAAGTAAAAACAGTAATATTGTGAAATATTATTAGAATTTAGAATTCTGTTTTAAGATTAAATATAAATGTAAATCTTTGAGAAAACATTCTAATATGCTGATTTGGTGCTCAAGAAACATTTCAGTTTGGTCAGTGTGGGGTGACAATGACACACACAAAGCTTTACAGAGATCCAGATTCAATTTGGAATCATGACATCAAATTTAATCGGGCATTAAATGATAGTGACTTTGTCTACCAACACAAAATCCATAACTTTTTGTTGGCGTGGTCTTAACTCTTTCCCCACCAGCATATATATTTTTTTAAGTTGCCAGCCAGCGTTAGCATTTTTGATCATTTTAACAAAAATTTCATGGCCCCCAGAATATTTTGTTGCATGAATATCTGAACATATAATATATTAAAATAAAGAACAGACTCTGCTTTTAAACAAAACAAACCATTTTATTGTAACTTCATGCCTTTTTTTTTAAATCAACACTTAAATGTGGGAAAGTTTCATTTAAAAAAGCAACAACTTAAATAAAAAGCTGAGAAAAATCACGTTTTTGATTGAGAACAATGATCAAATGACCGAGTCCATCAACACCCCCAAAGCTACCACAGTCCTATACCTCTTTGTGAGTTTAACATTTCATTCAGTAACGTTAGGGTGTTTTGATTTATGTGCTGTTGCATGTTTAATGATCGTGTTATGAGTGCGTAAGCAATGTCCCTATTGCTAGTTTCTGTGTGTACTATTTCAGAAGATGCATAATATATAACAGTGAAAACATAAATTGCCAGAAAATTCTGTCAATGGAAAGGAAAGCCTTGTGTCATAAATGACAGAAAATTCTGTCAATGGCAGGGAAAGAAAGTGATTGTTAGATGACCTGGGTCAAATTTTGTGAAAACAGTCTAGGAATAGATTGAAAAAGTATGTTTTCAACTAAATTCAGCAAGTTAAGCCAAATATAGTATAACTGGTATTGATGTTCTCATGACCCAAGGAATCTATTAAGATCAGTCTCATGACAATAGGCAAAACTAATAAATCATTATCATTTTAATGACAAGGTGGCACTGTCTGGAAACTTTTTAAGTACCTCAAGGGCATACATACTGACTTTTGTAATTAAACTAAATTTTTTTTTTTTTTGTAATGAGAACATTTTAAAGGTTCGACACCCAAAATAGTGGACATGGAAATCTGATATCGCCTTGAGCGGTCTCGTGATTTTCGGTCAAACTGTTCAGAAGTTATAAAACAAAAACGTCCAGTGTCAATCTCTTGACCAGTAGGTGACACGCTGTGCCAAAACTGCTTATGTCATGGATGTCATAACACCATATAACCAATAACCATATTTATTTCCAAGATGATAACTGGATGCCACTTGCTGCAAACAAGGAATAAAGGAGGGTCACTGCAATGACAACAAAGAAACAATGTTCGAAATGTCCACAATTGCATACTGAACAACTGTTTTGCATAAAAAAGTTATTAAGGGGTAATTACTTTGCAGCAAATAAGTATCTTGGACATTCAAATAATTGATGCAACAAATTTAAAAGAATAGATGAACGGAGAAAGACACTGATAATCAAGAATATGAGTTCTTGTTTTACTGGTTATGCTGAAGAGAGATATGGGTTGCATATAAACACAAAATATGCAGTGAAATAAAAATAAAATGGATCTGAACAAATGATCAGAAATATGTACACTGTGAAAAAAGCCCTGCAGGAGATGAAAGGATAATAAGGACAAAAAAGGGAGCAATTTTCTCATCTCCTCTTTCATCAGAAAAGTTTGAAACTGCAGATTTTATACTCTCAAAACATTGAAAGGGAATGTTTGAAAACGCTTTTGATCCATACAGAGGGGTATGTAGAGCTGCATCCAGGATATTCCATCTACAACACTTTACAAAATGTGCATTTGAAAACACAGAATTTGCCTTCTACACATCTGGCTGATTCTTAAGTAAGACAAAACAGGCTACAATAATGCAAAAAATAAACGTTTACGTATTCAATTATTTTGTATTATTTGGGTGTAACTTTTACTTTCTCACAAAATGTGTGAGAAAATGTAGCATTCACAATGATATAATTATTCAGCTTATAATTTTCAGCTTTAGATCAAATTGTCACCACCATCAGATAGATAATTTGACTGACATGACCATATTTTTTAACTTTTATATAACAATATTTTCAAATCACATGCATTAAATGCAGTAGCCATTTTGTTTAGTCTTTTCTGATCTGGCTTCACATTAATAGGATATATTCAAAATGAGGGAAATGTCTTTGTGGATGCTTTGAATATTACAAGACCACCATTACCGCACTGTATTTGAGGGGAGTCGTGTCAACAATGGTGTTTACAGGTCAAGTAACTTGCTTTGCTTTAATGAATAAAATTTAATATAACAGTCATTAATGCACAAATGAGATCTGTTACATAAATGTTTGATGTCATTTAAATAGAGACAAACTCATGGAGTCACGTAATCCAAGTAATCGTCCCAAAGACGTAATTTTAAATAAAACAGCTTATTTTAATTATCTCTCTGCTGTTGCCTATGCTCATCATTAGGCTCGTAAAGTCCTGTTTTCCATTAGTCCAGTTCACTCACCGGGTTGATGATTCATAATTTAGACAAAAACATGAATAATTCTGATAACATGCCAGTTGATATGAACTCGGTAATTGCAATGCATTTGCTGTTTTGTTTACTTTCCTGACAATGTATACTTTTCCCAGTGATGATTTCCACTTATATGGCTTATTGTGCTTTTATAAACTCCTTTTAATATCAGCAAAGTTGCACTCTTTACTTTCTCATTCATCCATGTTTCTTTATTGCTCTAACATGTTAAAAGTCCTGCCAAGTGAAATGCATAGATATATGGATATATTTACATACAGACATAAATTGGACACATTTGGTCACAATCGCTACAATTCATTTGAAAAGTACATTGTAGACATCTTCAAGATCAATCACGATACAAAATCTTCAGCTCACTCACCCCTACTTTAGCCTATTAAACAACACATAAACCTTTTAAAACTGTAGTTTAAAACAAATGATAATGATTATGCAAAGTTGATAGACTCCCTTGTCATCTCCATTTGAAAACATTACACTTTGCACATTTAGTTTGTTAATAACAAACTAGTCATTTTAGATGACTGGAAAAGTGTTATAAATAAAAGTTTGATCAGATCAGTGGTGTTGTTATCATTGTGTAAAAACCAGAAGTGAAAAAATTAATATATGTTGTTTCTGCTTGGTTATTAGGCAACAGGGTTCCCACTCTTTCATGAACACCAGATTCAAGGACTTTTTAAAGCACCATTTATTTTATATCAAGCACCTATTAAATTCACACCCCAGCATATGTAGTGTCATGAAAGACCATACAGTACTTAATAGTTCACTTACACTTAACATTTACATTAAACATTTCAGAGTAATAATGTTTTGAATGTGCAGGTTTCATAAATTTAGATCATTTTGAGCAGTCATGTTCAAAGGAATTTAATGAAATCAGTACTGGTAATATTCAAATACAATTTCTAAAATATTGATAAAACTGGTTTTGCTATAGTTCTTGTACAAGATTTAAATTTGAAAGAATTTCTCAATTTTTAAATGAATAAAAAGTGGTTAAATGTTGTAATAATATGGTAAAACCGGTTAACATTAAAAATTTGCACATTCACTCAAAAGAGACGTTACTCATTAATAAATTAACTCAAGTCAAAATAATTTTGTAAATTACTTTTTATTGTAAATTCCATTTTTTCATCTTTGACCTAGAGGAACGCAGCTTCTCAAACATGCAGGTGCTCAAAACGTCAATATTGTTTGAAAATATTTCATGAACATTTTAAACCTTGTGCATGTGCAAAAAAATATAAAGAAAATAAATAAAAAATAGGACTTACTATTTGCTTTTAAACTGTAAACGCTTTTCACTAAGCTGTTTTTCCAATATTTCATGTTCTACATTTTCTCAGCTCCATGTTGCAGTAAGTTTTGGGAGTTCATTTTTAGTCCATCTCCTATCCTGAAAAGTGTGTCTTGCAGAGACTGACAAAAATGAGCTCCTAAAACTTACTGCCAGATTCTGGAAGATCAATTCTTCTAACAGTGGTACAAGAGGATGTGGTGCTGGTCCTTCAAGAGTCACTCTCAACTTATCTGTCCATAAAGCCTATAAAAATAGTCTTCATGTATTTCACAACACTTCAGAATGTTATTCTTATTAAGTGAGGGTCCTTTTTTAGGATTTTTTACCCAAGCAAAGTCTCTGAGAACCTGACACCTTGTAATTCTGGAGACTCAAGGTTGCAGTTCTGGAAAATAGTGGCACTGGAGACTAAAAGGTTCCTGATGGGTTCACACTTAATTCTTCACATTCATTCTTAATTCTTTTGCATTTAACATGCTCTTTTCTTCTCCACCTGTCTTTTTTTCTGACCCCGCTGACCCAATGAGCATTTTTCTGACCCATGGTCATGCCTTAACTTTGAAATTTCTGTATTGCATTAGTTTTTAATATTTCTCAAGGGGATTTAATCATTTTTGACTTCTCAGTCTGAGTTAAATCTCTTTTTTGGCTCATTTCATCCGTAAAAGAAAACCTGCCTAATAATTCTGCACGCCTTAATAAGGAGTTTTTCATTTCCAGCCTTCATGGACAATTACATATCACTTCTAAATGATTAAATACAAAAATAATAGTAGTTATTTAGATTGATGCGGTTCGGAATTGGTAAAATGTGCTTGGAAAAAACATGATCAGAATACAGTGTGTGCATAATTATTAGGCATGTTGATAAGA